TTTTTTCCATTTTCACGTGATGGCGAGCACATAGCCATCGTCCTGTAGTCGCCGATAAGCCGCCCAGGCTGGCGGGATCAGCTCGGCGGGCATCACGGCGACGTCGCCGCGCGGCCGCCACAGGGACGCGCCTGGGCATGGCGCGCGCACCATTCCAGGGTCTCCACCAGCAGGTAGCTGGCGGCGCCAGCCTGCGCGCAGCAATGCACGATGCACGCCTCGCCGTCGCCCAGGAGAAAATCCTGAGGGCAGCAACGCCTCGATTTTTTGGGGGGCACACGCATGTGCACCCCTAAATACCAAGGTTGGTTGCGCCGTCTGTCCTGGCTGCCGTACATCTGGCCGTCGATGGACGCCTCTCTGCTGGTCCACGTTTCAGCCCTGCGGAGGGGTTCCTCCTCCTCCTCCTCCTCCTCCTCCTCCTCCTTCTCCTCCTCCTGGCGGCGAGCCGCCTCGGCGGCAAACCGCCTTCCCCTCTCCCAGCCCATCTTCCTCCACAAAGGGCATGCAAGGTTGCGCCCCGAGTGCCCGAACGTACTGTCCAGCTCTGGCGTGCGCCGCGCGTTGGCGCGGGAGCGCGGCGCCTCCTTCGCTTCCTCCAGGAAGCAGGCGAGCATCGCCGTCAAGGCCGACCGCTCGAAATTCTCAGGGTTGTCGATCTCCTGCGACCTGGACCGAAGCAGGTTGTGCTTCCGCTCGAGTACAAAGGCGTCCAACCAGATGCCGTCCTCCGCAGGCTGGTCGGGGACGTGCCACAAATAATGATGCTTCGGCTTGATCAGGGCTGGCCCGTGCGCGGCTTTGTGCAGCGCCAAGGAAATCGAAACGGCCTTGGCCCAGACAGCTATCAAATTCGGCACGGCGCCGATCCTCAGGACGTAGCCGAACCGCCTGCCACCTAAGCGCTCGAGGATGCGCGCGGGCCGACGCGGTGCATCCTCGAACGCGCAGGCCAGCGTTTGCGTTTCAGCTGCGGCCGCATGTCCTTTTGCCCTGCATGTACAATTCGACCATCTTCGCCATCGCCTCGAACGACCGCGCCGCAGCGTTCGCCATGCCGCTGGGACGCAGCTCTGTGTGCACCCAATGACGAATCAAAGGGAACACGGCCAAGCAATCCGACGCCTTGCCCACGAAGTGCGACGCCTTGCAGGTCGCTTTCTTCCGAGCCACGCTGAACAGAAACGCTGGCGGTGTCCTGCCGCGTCTGCCAGTCCGCCACGCCGAGCAGCGATCCCGCCACGTTCCCCACGCGTCGGGGATGACATCCCTCACCGCCTTGAGGAGCGCAAAGTTTTCGACCTGCAAGGTCCCGCCGCTGGCCAGCATGGTATGCATGGGGTCCCTCACGTATGTGCTCGGCGGCGCCACCGTCCGCAACGCCTGGCACGCCACCAGAGAACGGTCATCCAGAGTGATGCCCATGGCCGTCTCCTTCGGGGGCCGGAACATCAGAAGGGAAGGAAGGGGGGGACATCAGAAGGGGATCGATGGAAATGTTTTCCTCCCTGGCTCCAGTCTCTCGATGTTCGCTCTGGTTGTCGTGTCCCGCAGCGACGCCAAATCATCGTATTGCTGCAAAAACTCGTCTGACGACAGCGGGTCAAAGCGCGACGAGTCAGCGCACCAGAGAGGCACGAGGTAATCATCGTCGTCGTAGTCTGCAAGACATTCCGCCTGATCCAGCACAACGTTCTTGCATTGCAAGCACGGTCTCAGACCTGCAGCGCCCTTTGTGCAGAATGTCTCTTTTCCAGCCGCCTCGTCTGCAATCAAGCGGTGGAACTTGGCGAAAAAGTGCACGCCGCCGATTGGCGCACCGTGCTCCGACAGACTCTCTTGGCCCAGGAACAGCGCGCGAAGCAATGCCCGCGCCACGGCCGAGCCGCCGATGCTCTTCTTCACGACGACGCGCAAGGTGCCGATCGGCAGCCACGCAACCTCCTTCTGCAAGAAGGATCCGAACTCGAGGAAACTCGCATACACCGCGAGCTGATTCCGACGATTATCTATCTTCAAGGCGTTGCCCGCGCCAATGTCGTCGTAGTACAGCAAAAGCCTCCACGGCCGATCGCGCGACACAGGGAAACGGCGCATCGCTTCCCAAAACATTGAACTCCAGAGAGGGCAGTCCGACAGGAGCCTCGGCATCAGCCGATGCGGCAGCGCCACGCTCCATCGGAAAGGCGTGCCGATCTTGGGCTGCAGCCGCACTGCGCTGATGAGATCGGCCACGGATGCCGTCAGCGATCGCTGCATGGCCCGAGCGCTCACGTCTATAGCATCGCCCGCGTCGTCGCCATGGCCAAGCGCAGTCACGATTCGCTCGAGCAAAGCCGCGGACACGCCGCGCAGGGCCAGACACTGTTGCAGTCGAGCCCGCTGCTCCACCTGCGTGTCCACCTGCAGGGCGCGTTTCCCCATTGCGCCGACGCCCGCGCGCGGGAGGGGCGGGGGCGGGGGGCAGCGCGAGGCCCAGCGCGGTTGAGAAAAACGAATTGCAGCAAGAGAGACGGAAGTGGAGGCGGGAATGGATCGCGGGGCGGAGTAGCCGCCGAAGGGCATGGCGGTGTAGCCGCCTGAAGGGTCGGGAGGGGCGGCGTAGCCGCCGAAGAGCGTGGAGGCGAGGGGGCATGGGGGGAGGGGGGAGGGGGGAGGGGGGTGGGTGGGGGAGATTGCGGAGGCGCGAAGTGAGCGTAGCAACGGAACTTGCAAGGGAGATTTCTTTTTCTCGCACGCAATTTCGAGCTTGAGTTTCAAGCTCGGGTTCCAAGCCGCCAGCGCTCGGAGACGGGCGCGGCTGGCGGCTCGAGCTCGGGACGGGCGCAGCGCGGGACGGGCGCGGCGGCGGCTGGCGGCTCTTAGTGCGGGTGCGCGTGCTGCCTCCAACTCCTCATCCACCTCCTCCTCTCCTCATCCTGCCTCCTCTTCCTCCTTATCCTCCTCTATCGGCCCAGCCGATCGCCGCTCAGCTCTCCTGGTGCGGCTGGCGGCAGAAGAACCGAATGCCGCCTGGGGTGTCCTGCACCGTCTGCTTCGACATCTGGCACAGCATCTTGCCGCGCTCCTCGGTGCGGCGCGCCTCCTCCATCATGCGCCGCGCCTTGTCGATGAGCATCTGCCCTTGATGCCAACGGCGCGTGCATGGCGGCAACGATTGCGCCACTCGATGAAGCGCACCACGATGGTCGCCCAGCTCCACGCACTGCCACCCGTGATGAGCTCGAAGTCATCGACGTCGTACTTGTCCGCGATGCTCGCCATGGCGGCGCAAGACCGCGAAGGGGCACGACCTCGAGCGGCTCCACTTGAGCCACAAAGACTACGGATGAGGGGTGGGACGGTGGCAGATCATGTCATTGGGAAACGCGAGAGAACGGTGCGAGCGCGGTGGGCAGCAAAGGCGGCATCTCCGCCAAATGAAGGCAAGGCGGCATGTCCGCCAAGGGCTTGCGAGAGTGGAAAGGCGGCATCCCCGCCAAACGAAGGGCTGCGGTGGTAACGAGTGGGGTGGCGATGGCAACGAAGAAATGTTTTTTTCAACAACAATAACAATTGTACGAAATCACACACCTCGTCATGAGCGGCCCAACTGCCGCCCCTGCCAAGGAGCTGCTTCGCCTCTGCTTCGTCTCCGACCGCCAATCGATGGGATTCCCAACGGTGTCGCTGGCCTTCGCGAGCCACAGCTCGCGCGGTAGGGTCTCGGGCAGGACGCGCTCGAGCAGGAGGGAGTTATGCAAGCGCTTCGCCTCGCCAAGTGAGGCATCGGAGCGCGATGAGCAGCAAAGGCGGCATCTCCGCCAAATGAAGGCAAGGCGGCATGTCCGCCAAGGGCTTGCGAGAGTGGAAAGGCGGCATCCCCGCCAAACGAAGGGCTGCGGTGGTAACGAGTGGGGTGGCGGTGGAAATGTTGTTTCACCAACAATAACAATTGTATATACGAAATCACACACCTCGTCAGGAGCGGCCCAACTGCCGCCCCTGCTCACGAGCGGCCCAGCGGCCGCGGCTTATTCGGGTCCTTCTCCACCTTTTTCAGGCCGTACTTCATGATGTACTGGGCCACCATGGGGCGCTCAGGTGCTGTGCTTCTGCGCCTCCTTGAGCATCCCCGCGATGGCCCTCGCCGCCGAGCTCGCATCCTTCTGGATGCTGATGGCCTCGTCCTGCGTGATCGTCAACGCCACGCCGCTGTGCACGCGCTTCTGCGCCACCGCCTTCATGACTGCCACAGACTTCCTCGCCGCCTTCGCGTTCTTCACAGCCCATGACGGCACCTTGTCCGCCTTCTCATGCTCGAGGTACCCGTCCAGCTCTGTCTCGAGCCTCGTTGCGGTGCCGATCCACTTCAGCGCCAGGTTTTTCTCCTGCGTCTCCTTCTTGGCCTGCTCGGCCTTCTCCCTCGCTTCCTGTCGCCTCCGCTCCTTCTCAGCGTCCTTATCCCTGCGGAGCCTTCGGGGTTGTCCGAAAATGACAACACTTCGAGCCGAGCGAAATCAATAACCCGATCCGAACCTGAAGAGTTGAACGGAAACCGAAAACGAATGCGAAGCCCAGGCGACACCCCTGCGTTGAACCCCCAAACGGCCTGCTCTTGCTCCTGTCCTTGCTCTTGCCGCGGCTCTTGCTCCTGCCCTTGCGGCGGCTCTTGCTCCTGTCGCGGTCGCCGCGCGAGCGGCTCCTGCTGCGGTTGGTGTCGCGACGTCTGTCGCGGCGTCTGCTCCTGCTGTCGCGCCTGCCCCTGCTGTCGCGCCTGCTCATGCTGCGCCTCCTCCTCCTGCGGCTGTCAGACCTGCGCCTGCGGCGCCGCCTGGATCTGGACATGTCGCTCTCGTCGCTTCTGTCGCCCTTGTCGCCGCCGTGCTCTGCGACGCCCGTCGAGGCCGCTGCCCGCGGGCCGCTCTGCTTCGCCTGCGTCCTCTTATCGGTGTACAGCTCGTTGCGCACTGCGGCCTCCACTGTCTCGCTCCAGGCCGCCTCCAATTGCGGCCTGTACGTCCACTCCCCGAGATCAGGGTTCCACCTCTTATCCTGCACATTATCTTCAATCTTTTTCGCGTCGAAGCCGTCGTGCGCCCACTTCCTCAGCGGAAGGTACTTGCCACCCTTGCGGACGCGCTCCTCCTCCATCCGTTGGACAGTGATTGAGCTGACCACGAAGGCTTCAATGCGATCGAGGTTCGACAGCCCAGGATCTTCTGCCAGATCCTTGTAGAACTGCTGCTTGAACTCACTCTTCATTTTGGCGAAACACTTGGCGGCCACTGTCCGAACCTCCGAGAAAGGCGCACCCCGTTCGTGTTGTTGCACGCGTCGCACTGGTAAGTCGACTGGCCCTTCGCCCTGATCCTGTAGTTGCACTCCTTTGCCGTGCGACAGCAGCGGTTGCAACGCACGATGCTATGCCCGATGCCATGCGCATCCACGAACTCCCCTACCTGGGGAGCGCCTGCTGGCGGATCGTCCTGAGCTGCCTCCTCCTCCTCCGCCTGCGGCGCTGCCGCCTCGGGCGAGCGCTCCTCATTCTCAACCTTGGCTACCGCGCCCTGCGGTGGAGCCTCTTCCTCCTCAAGCTCACGCTTGGCACTCTCAAGCTCATCCTGTTTGACGCCGAGCTCGGAACCAATCTCGTCGCCGCGCTCCTCGGAGCCCGATGCCGCCTCTGACGCTGCGTCGTCCGGCTCTGGTGGCAAAGCCGCTGCGCCCTGAGGAGGCAGTTCTTCGGCGGGAGCTGCGGCTGACGCAGCTTTGCGAGCCGTCCTCAACGCTGCGGGGTGCTTACCTTTGCCCTTGCCTTTGCTTTTCCCGCGTGCCTTCGGCGGCCCTGCGTCGGTCAATGCGAGCGGCGGCACAAGCTGTCCAGTCAGTGTCATCTGCGTCCCCGATAGCTTAGCTTTCCCACGGGGCTTCGCTGCGGGCGCCTTGGTCATCACTCCCTTGTTTTTCGGCCTGGCTGCTCCGAACATCACTGCCAGAGAATGCTGCTGGTGATCTTCAGCGGGCGGCGTCCCCGCCATGGCGGCGTGACCGCCTTGGCACGCGAGAAGCCGCGCGTCGCGCGCGGCCCTGATGCCAAGATGAGCTGGACGCGAAGCGATGACGAAGAAAACGCGCGGTAAGTGAGGCGGGATAGCCGCCAGCGGAATAGCCGCTTCAAAGGTGGAGGGAGGGGTGGAGTGAGGTATGAAGGGGGCGGCATATCCGCCAGCGGACTCGCCGCTTGAGAGGGTGCAGGGGCGCGGCGAGGGAGGCGGATTGGCCGCCAGCGGACTAGCCGCTCGAAGCGTGGCGGACGCACGAGGTGATACGGATACTGAAATGAATTGCGCGCAACATGACAACCACACAAAATTGACATCATGTTATCATATGTTATCATATGTTATCAGGCGTGTGATAACACCATGCTAACACATGATAACACCTGATAACATGTTATCAGGTGTTATCAGGTGTTATCAGGTGTTATCAGGCGCGTGATAACATCTGCTAACATATGATAACAGCCAACGTTTTTTTGCCAGTGCATGGCGGCGGCGTAGCGGCACGTCCGCCGAGTTAGTTAAGCGGAGCAGCAGGGGCGGAGCGGCGCCCTGCGCTACCGACCGCGGACGGCGCCGCGTGCTTCAAACCGCTGCCTGAGCGGCAGCGAAAAGACGGGCGAGCGCGGAAGCGAGGCGCGCTGCCTGAGCGGCAGCGAAGAGACGGGCGAGCGCGCGCAATCGGGGCGCGCTGCCTGAGCGTCATCATATGCAAGGCGATGGGGGGGTGGGCGGACATGGCGATGCAGCACATCCAGAAAATAGCCGCACTCATTCTTATGCGGATGCAGTTTTCTCCACCCAGCCCTTTTGCCAAATCCCATCCAACCGCCCACCTGTCTTATCCGCCGAAGTTCCCTCACCTTCCTCCCGCTCCGCTCGTCCACTCGCCCCCATATCGCCTTGCATTGGGGGACGGCTACTCGGCCGCCTGCGTGGCCAAAATTCACCTCGGCGTGGCGGCCTTCACGAATTGAGTGCGGATGGAGTGTGTGGGGGTGTCCTAATTTGTTCTGACACAGGGGTGTGGATTGAAATTGCGTTGGAGGAGTGGGAGGGGGGCGTGTAGGGCCGACGCGTCGCGCCGCCTGCGCGAATGAGGCTACTGATGCTGAGGCGACATCAGTGCTGCCAGCCGTGCACCTGCACCTACGAGGTCGCGTTGCGCACCAGCCAGCTCGCGAGCACGTCCTCGCACTCGGCGATGCATTGCTCCTCTTGGCGGAAAGCGTTCACCGCGCGCTCCGCTATCTGGGCGCACATCTGCGTCGCAGTACGCGCGCGGCGCAACGAGTCGAGCACAGCCTGGCACTGGGTGCCGTTGAGCACCACGATGCTATCGGGCGACATCTGGCTGGCCAACGCCGTGGACATCCTCATGCCCGCCGTGGCTGACGAAGCTGCGCCTGACGATCCGCTGCCCTCCGAGAACGCGTCCTTCAGCTGGTGCGAGCGCTCCACGCGGGATTGTGGAGGGATTGGCGCCAGCTCGACCTTCGGCGCCCCCTTGCGCCTTTTGGCGGAGCCCCAGTTGGCCTTCTCCTCCTCCCATTGGCGCCACTCCGCGAGGTCGACTTCCCACGAGTCGGCCTCGAGTGCGATAGCAGCTACCTCCGCTTCGTCCTCGCTCAAGCTGTGGTACGGCGACACGTGAAGGTGGTTCACCAGCTTGTTCCTGGCCTCCTCCACTGTCTCTCCCTGGAACCACTTGCCGCCCCTTTTGCAGCTGCTGCTCTGTGGGCACTTGAAGCCGAACATGACGGTCTTCTCGCCCTGCTGGCCTGCCATGGCGGCAGGGCGAGAAGTGCACGGCTAGCGCAGGGGCGGCGTGGGGCGCGAGCCTGTGCGCGCCTAGATTCGAGCCGATACAGCGTCCCAACAACAAAAACATACATGTGTAAGAGGCGCGGTGGCATCGCACATTTCGGGATGCCAGCAGGCGGCGGCGGCGGTTTAGCCGCCAATGGAGGGCTCAGGGCGGCGTGGCCGCCAATGGGCGGTTTAGCCGCCAATGGGCGGCGTGGCCGCCAATGGAGGCTTCAGGGCGGTTTAGCCGCCAATGGGTGGCTCAGGGAAGGACTGGTGTTTTTTTCCAACCGCATAGAACAAACCCGATGCGCCGATGCTCGTATCTGAACGGCGGTTGTCCGCCAGGCGGGGGGAGGCGGCGCGTCCGCCAATGAGATAGATCGGCAACGAAGAGAGGGGAGGAGAGATGAGATGAGACGAGGCGGGGAGAGGCGGCGCGTCATGACGCGTCAGCGCGGATAGCTGCAACTATCCGCGCTCGAATTACGGAAGCTATGCACCCCAGCCCGCTTGCAGGTCCACGCGATCACCCTACAAGAAGACATCTCCGCGGGCGGGCGGGCGCGGCTTCGCTGGCGGTGGTGCCATCTTGCTTGTCGGCTGCAGCCGACGCCCTGCCCTCGGCTGCACCATGCTGGGCTTCCCTGCTGGCGGCTGCCTGGTCTTCGGCGGCGGCGGCCCCATGGTCTTCGGCGGCGGAGGCGGAACTGGAGGGTTCATATTGCCAGTCCTCCACGGCGCCTGCTGAGGCATCGTCTTGGGCAAGTTCGGCGCCATGGGCTCCCGATGCATCAGCTGAGGCTTGGGGACGTGCGCCTCGCGCACCCGCGGCGCTGCCTTGTTGCCGTGCAGCTTCGCGTACATCTCGCGCTTTGCGCCACCTCGGTTCCCCCAGCGCTTCGCATTGGCGCGCCACGCCTGGCCCTGCCACGTCTGCGGCCCGCCCATGGCGGGGCCAGGCGGGCCGCGGTCGCGGAACTTCTTGTAGTCGTACTTCATCTGGTACTCCTTGAGCACGGCGAGCACGGTCTCCGACCGCCAGTCGATGGGATTCCCAACGGGGTCGCTCAGCCAGGCTCGCAGCTGCGCCCTGAACGCCTCCACCGCGCTGGGATGCGCCTCCACCGCCTCGGGGGGCTCTTCCACCACAGGCGTCGCGCCCCGCATGTGCGACGCGAGCTCCTTCACGAGAGCCGAGGGCGGGAAAGGCCGCTGCCGCGGGTCCCGCGGCGGTGACGTCGGCCCCCGCCTGCGCGGCGGCGTCGACGGTGCCCGCGGGTGGCGCGGGCTGCGCGATCGCGCTGGCTGCGCCGCCAACGTGGGCGCGCTGGCTGGCCGACTGCCGCTGGCGGAGGAAGACCGATCCCCTGCGTTGTTGTCCACGCCCGCAAGGTCGGAGAGCAACTGCACCGCTGGCCCGAACATCTCCTGCGCCGAATCGCCAAAACAGTTCGACCGAGAGCGGCCAGCCAGTTTCGCGCGCGATGCGCGCGTCCCTGGCTACCGCACGCGGGGCCACTTGTTTTGGCGATGCAGCTGCCTCCAACGCGTCGAACGCGCTGCCGCTGTCTGCCATGGCCGCGGCCGCAGTGCGAGGCGCCGAGCGCGACGCGGTGGCTGCGGCGCAGCCTCGGCGCGCGGGCCCCAGCCCACGCGTCGGCGCGAAAGGGGGGGGCCGACCCCGCGCGGGCTCGCGGGCACCCGCGGGCCGCGGGCTTGAACCGAAATGGAATCGGACGCGGAAGCGAGACTTCGGGAGGAGGGGGAGGGGGTTGCCCATGGACCCATTGAAGTCTTGGAGCTCCTCGAGCCCTCGGGGGCCTCTCAGAAGGGCCCCGCTGGTTCTTGCGACGGGGTCTCGGGGGAGGGGGCAGAGTGAGGGTGGCATTGGGAACCAGAAATATAAGTGAACTGGTGTCCCTTTGAATGTGCAGGTCTTGGTTCACTTGTTTTCGTCGTTGAACGGGCGGTGGCAACGTCGGTGCCTTCGCGCGCGCCCATGCCATTCTGGGTGAACGCCTTCGCCGTTCGAGCAGTGGGCGTCTCCCCGACGTTAGTTGGCGTGGGATCCAGTGCCTGACAGCGGAGAGGGGGGCGCAGGGACGTGGCGCGGGGGCGCGGAGTGGGCCGATTAGGGGAGGGGGGCGGCGGCATGTCCGCCTGAAGGGCGGAGGAGCGCAAAGGGGTGGGGCGGGGGCGGCATGTCCGCCACGAGTTGGAAGGCGAGAAGGCTGCGCTACAAGGCGGCATATCCGCCACGAGGCGGCATATCCGCCACGACCTTTTTGTTATCCCGAGGCCGCCCCGTTGGCCTGGAGAGTTGAAGAGTCGTAGCGCGAATTACTCGCCGCGCGCCCTGGCGGCGAGCTCCTTCTTGACCAGCTCCTCCGC